CTACAATTGCTCTGGCCTTGTTCCAACCCTGCTCTGGACTCCTGATCCTGGCTTTGACCAGCGGGCATGACTGCCATGGCTTCAACCACTGGACCTGACCAGCCCCCATCATGGTTTCTGACTGTCTGCCATTCCAGATTGGCCATCCCAACATTTTAAAATCTGGGTGCTTAACAAGAAGCAGTTCAATTTATAGTGAGATACCCAACTATGAATATAGGTCACTAATGTTAAACTACAAAGATTAAAAATGTTGGTCTCATGTATAGGCCATAACATAGATCAGCACAAAAATGATGCCTAACATTGTTGGCAAGCATGTAGTTCTACTGGCTCCAAGAATTATTTGGGAGAGTAAAGATTGCAGGATTAGGACCAGTCTCTTTCTGAAACTACAGATTTCAAACAGTTTAGATGAAATATGTATGATAATTGCTCTTATAACTAATCACGTGTGTGTGACTATAGGACACAAAAACACAGGACCAGATTGCACAACAGCTCTCATTGCTTCCAGGCACATAGGGGATATGCACCAGCTCCAATATCCTTAGGAAGGTGTAGCATATTCTATGTTCGTTGGCCGGCCGGCTCTGCTGGCCACTGAAGAGTGGAAGGTGCTAGGGATTACGTGTCTCTGCATGGCGGCCCTATGGGAGGAAAAGCTCCTCACACCCTCATCTCTTTTTGTGTATCCACATAGGCACAATTTAACTCACCAGTGTACACAGTGTACTTAACCAGCATGTATTGCATAATTCCCGGTAAAAACAATTGCCTTTCAGTGGAGGTCACTCACAGACGCTGTTCTGAAGGAGTTAAGTAGAATAAACGATATTTTAAATTTGTATCAAGATCTTTAGCTTTGGATGAAGATTATTATAAAATTTGAAAAGGCTATTACCTATGATTTATCCATCAGTGATGAAAACGCTGCACATACAATTAAGTGTAATGCAGTCATTATTTTAAATACTCCCCATTTTCTAAGAAGCACCAGAAATTTGCATGTTGGCACCAAGCATTAGGTTTAGCATTTGGATCTCCATTTGGAAGGGGGAGAGCAGAGAAATTGCATCACTTTTCCTGTACTGTCTGGAATTTTTTTCCTGTTTGGGCATGTAACTCTCATTAATTAGATTAATGGGAGCTGAGTGTATGCACAAGACAATAGGCCCCCTTAGTCAATCCATGCCTCCTTTAGGGAATGTGTCATTACAAGTGGGGAGGACATGTAGATCTGTTTTGATTTGAAATGAAAGAATTCCAACAGAGCAACAGCTTCATATGAAGACTACAAGGAGCCCTTGTAATGGAAAATCATTTCAGATATCAGTGATCTACAGTGGAAGTCTGAGGGTAAAGTCTGATCCCATGGCTGCTGAATCAATAATACACTTACAGTAAAGAAAGCTCACCTATAATCCAGGGTATTTTAGTAAAAGTTTAAAAAAATATCATGTAAAATCATTTCTGTATGCACTCACAAGTAGGTAGATCAAATTCAGGCCTCCCTTTGTGCAAATATGTACGCAGCAGAAGAGCTGGCCTAGCAGGGCACAGCTCATGACCTGCCATAGGCTCCCTCAAAACCCACAGGGTGAAATCCTGGTTCCATTGAAGTTAATGCAAAAACTCCATTGACTTAGAGGGAGCCAGGATTTTCCCTATGGAGTTCACAGTGCAATTTGTTTCAATCCATCTGCATAGAGGGCATTCTGGGGTTGGGCTTGGAGTCCAAGAATCAATGTGCCTAAACACACACACATTCCCTGAGCTGGCTACCCTAGGTCTCATGCAGATTACTACTGCCCATAGTAAGAATAATTTGCACAGAAGATTCTATTTGGGCCATGGCTGGTTCAAAATACAAGTCGCTTTTGCACTCTTAAAACATGCCTGACTACACCAGAAAAATCAAATAGGGCCTGACTTTTGCTTTCTGTGTATCTAAAGGCTCTCAATAAAGTTTACTGGAAATCTGTCATTTCAGACTTAGGCTGGGCTGCATCTATTACAAAATAGAAGATCAACTCAGTGTTGTCTGAATTTGAACAGGAACCTATTAAATCTGTTACTCCTTTCAATCCACATCAAGTAAATATTATATAGATTATCGGGTGGAGGGAAGCGAAAAATCAGCCCGATTGGCTTCCTGATCAAGGTTATCCTGTTCTCATTATGCAGCAGCATATCTGGAAAGGTCCAGTTGTACCCTGAGAATTCCTAATACATTAATAAGACTTACACCTCCTATAATTGCATTTGTCTGATTAACTTTCGCCCAGCTGGTCTTAGCTGCATAAAAAGGCATTTTATAAGCCTGTTATATAGAAGTAAATTCTGAACATCTTTGCCATATAACTTGCCAACTTATTCTTGACCTGAACAGCTCACTTTCTGGCAGCTTTTAGAATTAAAAATATCCATCACAAATGTTAACCCCCAGAGCATGAGACTTCCAGATGTAGAGTTTATGACCATCTGCTGTGAACAGTTACTATATATTACTTAAGTTATTGATAGTCTACAATAGATGACTGTCCCCATGTACTTCTAACAGATATTTGGCACTTACAAGCTTATAAAAAAATTACAAAGCTACATCTTTTGATTTCTAAAGGCCCTGGTTTTAGACCTCTGGTCTAGGTGCTTTGTTCCTGCAGCTGAATGGTGGTTTCCAGAGCACAGCAATGTCAGTGTTTACTCTTAGAGGAAAGGGGAAACAATCCGTACATTCCCCACTAGTTTAAAATGCAGAAACCTCTTTGTTCAGCAGCAAACAAGACTGCAGGAGACCAATTCTTCTCCCACCATTAGGTGTCACTACAGTAAATGGAAATTATAGACAAATGGTTTTAAAAGAGAAACCATTACCAACGAAGATTATTCTATGAGGAAAAAAAGTATAGACAATTGTAAAGAAAATGATGACCGCTGTAGATAGTTTTGAAACAGCGCAGTATCCATACTTCACTGCAAACTCTTGGGTATTTGTTTTCCCAAACAAAAGCAGACATTTTTATTTCTCAGGATGAGTTATATCAAAACAAAAGTACTCTAAACATTTCCAGAAATTATTTAAGCATTTTGTTGTGGATGTAAAATTGAATTAGATTCCATAATGGGTAGAAAGTGTCTTCCTAATGATTTCACTATAGTCTAATATTTTACATCAGAATTTGAAATGTTTAAAAAATATTGCTCAGTAATTAAGAAATGTGTTCTGTGTACATGAGTTTGTAGATATGGACAAAAGGATCAGATAGATCATTCAAGATTTTCAGTTGGTCCAACTCCATCTCTAAAACAGCATTTCTTTTTACATGTATATAAAAAGATAGATTTAATGGTTCTAATGAAGTACAGCAACATATCCATCTGTAAAATTAATCTGGTTTGTTATTAAGACTTTCAAAGTACCACTACCATAATCACCTTTACAATTAATTATGTGTGTAAAAATCTTTTAGACAACATTTTGTTATTCTTGCAGTGATACAACACAGTATGACTCCACAGGGTTCTGAGTCGACACTCAAAACATCTGGGGCCTGATTCTCTCCAATAGACACCCACAGATGCTCCTTTGCAATCTCTGAGTAACTCCCACTGACTTCAATAAGAATTACTTGTATCCTACAGGATAAGAATTGGGTTCCCATTCACTTCAGCAGAAGTTTTGGGTTCTTGGAGAATGGAGGATCAGGTTCTCCAATTCTGTAGAATTGGATTGCTCCTCCAAGTACAATCAACCAATTGACAAATACAACAATTATAACACTGAGCCAAACACAGATTAGATAAACGGTATTCACAGAATTCTCTCTCAGTACAGCAAGGTTATCCATTCACAACCAAATGAAATGAAGTTAATGTATGTTAAACACTTTATGTCCATGTGTTTATTGACTTAAATAGTCTGTAGCTTCATTTATCTTTATACAAAAACCAAAAAAGCTAACCACCAACTAAAAAAACCCCGTATATTGGAGTGATAATGTTATTTGTTGGTGAATGTTATTGGCACTGATGCCAACCAGACTTCACAAGTTTACACTGGTAGTTAACATGACTTTTTTAAAAAAATGACATTCATTTTGCACTCAGTGATTTCATTTGTTTAATTTCACTAAGCTTAAGTATAATTCAGAATAGTGATTTCTTTTTTAAAATGTATATACTTAAATCATATGTTAACAACAGAAGCTATAACAGTATGAAGTGGAAAAAACTGCTAGATCATCCTGTCTATTTGCTTACCACCAGAATAGTCTGGTTCCTAATAATTTATAATCTGAAAAACATCATGAAGCCCACCTCACAAAAGGTCTCTCTGTATTGCCTCATTCAAACAATATAATGATTTTTTTGTTTTGTTTTGTGAAGTGTGAAGGGGAAAAAAATTGTCTGCATTTTAGGATTTTTTTTTTTTGCACCTACAATCAAATTTATCTTTACATTAAATAATTCACTTACTCTCCTTTTGTAATGGGTTGTATTTTGGGAGATGAAGACAAACTGCTTAGACCTTGAAAAACACATGGGCTACTCAGATAGATGGCATCTGGGAGAACTCAGAACTCCCTCAACATTCTATAGGGAAAAACAGAGCCAGGTGCATTTCTTGCTAAATCAAATTAGCTGGAAGATGCCACATCCAATTGTAGTAAATTGATGTGAGAGTTTGTGATGTCTATAGCAGATCTTACAACAAAGGTCAACGTGTGGAGACATAGACAGCAGGCTGGTACACAGCAACTTGTAGTGAAACTGCTATAACAAGATGTAAAATGAAATCAAGTTTTTTAAAATTGCAGGAGAATACAGTTTCAAGTATGTATTTTAATTACAGTTACAACCCAAACATTTACATTTTTAAAAGATGTTAATATAAAAATCATGCTTAACTGAAAAATTTGCATTTAGTGGTTAGAAGATATTGTTTAGCTTAAAAATAAGCATAGATTTACTCTAATCAAGCTTCAAATTTGAGGAAATCTTAGATCATATTGACAGAACCTTGGATTTAAAAAAAATTAGTTATTTACTACATAAACTTAGGAAAAAACCACTGATGTGTCAAATTTACACATCATGACAGTAGTTTTTAAATATCTCCTTTGACATTAACAAGTTTATGCCATGTTTTATGACACTTAATTAGCCTTAATTTTATTTAATTAACTTCATAATGTATCTAAAGCAATCCAAATGTTTTCTTAAATAAATAATAGGGAAGTAGCAGTTAGAAATGCTACATCCAAAAACAAAACAAACAAAAACCCCTCAATGAAAAGAATTTTAAGGTTACAAAGTCAAACACTCAAAAGTTCGGAAATACCAGAATTAAGGTTGCTTGTGCAACCTTAATTCGGCCCTCTTTGTGCATATATATTATGATACAATCTTTAATTACATGATCACAATTATTTTTTCACAGGATCCCTGCCTCCTTCAGTGAATGAGATCATCGTTATTCAATATTTCTTTTTAATCTTCACTTCCAGTGTGTAGCCTCAAGCCTTATTTACCACATACTATCCAAACCTGCACTGGGTGTTTCTGTAGTGCTTTCACCATAGTATCTGAATGCTTCACTAATATTAAAGAATTTCTCTTCACAAAACCCTCTGTGGGAAGGGGTGGTATTATCCCCTTTTATAGCTGGGGAACTGAGATACAAATTGATTAAGGTCAAAATTATCAAGTGTCCACTAATTTTGAGTGTCCTACTTGTGACAGCTCAGACCTGATTTTTCAGAATAGTTAGCATTTTTATAACAATTTACATATTTACAGCACAGCTCCAATAGACTTTAGTTGTAGTTGTGAGCACTCAGCACTTCTGCAGATCTGTCTCCAGATGTTTCACAGTACCTAGAAAACAAGGAACACACACACAGTGGTCAACAATTTGGATTTTTAGATCTACAGCAGTGGTTTTCCACCTATTTTCATTTGCAGACCCCTACATTTTTTCAAATGGAGGTGCAGACCCCTTTGGAAATCTCCAGGGGTCCACAGACCACAGGTTGAAAACCATTGATCTACAGCATAGACCTCTAACACATGAGCTAATGGAGCAATGGGTAGCAGTAAGAGACTTATCTTCTACGTGGACCAGCCACTAGCATGAGAAACACTCTTTGCCAGTGGTATCATAGCTATTTGCTGATAACAAAGGAATATAGAGGCTCAGGGCTCTCCTAGGTGCAATTCCAGGTTTTGAAGGGTAGTATTCTCTAGGGTTTATAGACTGTTCTGACCCTGTGCCCCCTGCCTGTCTCTGTCCGGTTCTACATCATTCACATGGCCCCAGCCCATATCTCCCTCTCCTCCTTTCTGTCCCCACCCCAATTTCTGACCATATCCCCCTCTCCTCCTATTCATCTGCTCTCCCCTAGTCCTCGGGCTCCTGACCTCATCATTCTCTGCCTACCACCCTGTTGGCCCCTTCCCACTCTGCATATAGCCATCCTCATGCCCTGGCTCTTACCACCCTCCTCTTCTGTTTCCCCCTCTCTGGCTCTCATAACCCCCTCAACCTCCCTCCCTACAGTCTTCAGGCCTCTGCATTTACATAAGATTCTTCCTCCTTCTGCTCCTGGGTGCCACCAAGGAGCACTGAGAGCACAAAAGAGACAGTCTTCCCTGCCCTCAGTTCTAATGCCCTGCACCAAAACAGCCCCAGCATGCAGGAGGAGTAATTTCAGGAAAAGACTTACACAGAACCACCAGTCGTTGGATTGAACAGGCTCAGTCGCTCTGTGGGATGGCACAAGCACAGTGATTGGCGTGTAAGAGCGGTGTGTAGCTGAAGTATGCTCAGTGTAGACAGAACATTTGGAAAATTTAGCTGTCAAATTCTAACAAGTCTCTACAGAGCACTTGCAAACTGGGATTTTTTTTTTGGAGGTTAATAGTTTGAACAAATTTGGGCATATTTTCATGATAATGGCAAAAGGTAAATCCTGAGCATCAGGGAAACTCCTGCTAAATATCAAGCCCTTGCTACAAAGCATGAAGTTGCTTGAGCTTCTCAGTGAAACAGATGGAAGAATTTTTGTTGACATAGGCAAAACAATATATTTTTCTCTAACCTTGTTCTCAGACAACTGCTGAATTATTTTAGCTGAAACTTTCCCAAAAAATTCAACCTGAGGCAGATACCAGCTTAGAAAATTTCATCTCGAACAATTAATGTTTAGCAGAGTTGTTAGCAACTGGAAACAAGGTTTTATCATGGAAAGCGACGGATAACCTCAGCTGTCAGTGGCACTACCATTTACTAAACGAAGCTAGGGTCCTTTGGAAAAAATAGTATGTGATCAAATAATTATCATATGCACAGGGGGCAAGTTAAGGTTGCACAGACAACCTTAATACTGGCATAGCCTAACTTTTGAGTGCTTGATTTTTGCAAGCTCAATGTTCTTCTAGCATACTTTCTTTTATGTTACATAAAATATACACACAATTGCATTCATGCACATATATTATGAAAGGTACATTTACACACACCACACATCTATATGCTTGATTAAAATATTGAATACTAAAGAAACACTTACAGACCAAAATTCAACACAAAACATTTATGTAACTTCTGAGCTTGTGCAAATTCTCTCAGGCCATGGATACTGGCAGGCAGCCCTATTCAAGGAAGAGGTCAGAATGGCATGGAATGGAAGGTGAAAGAATCCCCTGCACAGAGGCTGCAAGAAGAGCCATATCAGAGGAGGCAGGAACATACAAATGGGCTCACCACTGTGCTCCATCACGTCTTATTCTAAAGACATTGGCATGTTTATCTCATATATGGCAAGGTACCAAGCTTATCGCCCTTACTCACCTGAAGAGTGCTAACTCATGTCAGTAGTCCCACTGACTTCAATGGTACCGTGAATCTCCCTTTTCCTGAAAAATGCAAGACAAAGAGAAATCAATTCAAATAAAGCCACAAATGCTAGATGTATTTGGTATCCAATAAATACTATGTAAGCTACAATGAGCCTTAAAATGAAATTACTCTTTATACCATTATCACAGTTGAACTTAATGGAAAAAGAGATGATAGAGCTACAGTGGCAGCTGCTCCCATTAGCACAGAAATTTGGTAGACAGACTTTCAGATTGGAAGGACACAATTTACTTACAGTGTCTGAATATTCAATCAGGTTAATATGTCTCAGTCAACTTGCTACTGTATACTGAGAGTTCAAATGTATTTTTAACTTTTTAGGCTGATTTTTAAAATAAAGCAAGTGCGGGGTTTTCTTTTTTTTTTAATTTTGTTTCTCAGAAACCTTTTTTTTTTTTTAAATTCCTCCAGTTTTTCATTGAACAAATTGGGAGGAAGAAAAGAAAAGCAACAAAAGCAACAAAAAATGTCCATGAAGTTTCCTTTCCAAAAAAGGCCATTTTCATCCCAATTGTTTTCAAATGAACTATTTCAACAAGCTCAAGTTCTTAATTACAGGAGTACAGAAAAGATAAACTGCTATTATTTCATGCTTATAACTTTCAAATTAGAGCTCTGTGTGCCTATGAGAAACTCAGGTTTGAGTCCTGATCCCAGTAACAGTTGGCTCCTGAACCAGACAAGACAGAGTACTGTGGAAACAAGCTCAGCCTTCGAGGAAGAGCAAATGACTTGTCTTCTCAACATTGACGTCTCTGGCAGTCTAAAGAGCCACACTGACAAGCTCTGAAGTGAGTTGCATCCAGTCTTGTTTGGGGAAGGATGGTAGTTGCAGTGTGACCCTTAGGCCATGTCTACATTATAAAAGGTTTGCTATTATAGCTATACTGTTAGAACTATACCAACTAGCCCTTCTGGTGTAGATACTATGCCAGTATAGCTTAGCCCAATTAAAGTCAAATAATCTATACTGGTAAAAACACTTTCACACGGGCATAACTTCATCTACACTAGGCTTTTGCTGGTTTAGAAATATCGCAGAAAAATCATACCCCAGTCAACATGATTATACAGGTAAAAATGTCTAGCGTAGACCTGGCTTAAGAGGACAGGGTGTGTTGTGGTAATTGGCTGCACAGGTCGCCAGAGTTAGTACTAAACAAATCAGAGTATGGACAAGAACAAATCATGCCAAACCAACCTAATTTCCTTCTTTGATGGGAGTTACTGCTCTTGTGGAGAGAGGGGAAGCAGTAGACACAATATATCTTGATTTTAATAAGGCTTTTGAAACAGTTCCACATGACATTCTCATAAGCAAGCTAGGGAAGTGTGGTCTAGATGAAATTACTGATGCACAACGCGAAGAATAATTATCAATGGGTCGCTGTCAGACTGAGATGACATATCTAGTGGAGTCCCACAGTGCACTGTCCTGGGTCTGATACAATTCAATATTTTCATTAATGACTTGGAGAAAGGAATTAACAGTATGCTTATAAAATTTTGGAGGACAGGATTAGAATTCAAAATGACCTTGACAAGTTGGAGAACTGGTCTGAAATCAACAAGATGCAATTCAATAAAGACAAGTGCAAAATGCTACATTTAGAAAGAACAATCAAATGCGCAAATACAAGTGGGGAATAATTGGCTAGGTGGTAGTACTCAAGGCTCTGGGGCTTATAGTGGATCACAAATGGAATAAGAGTGATCAATGTGATGCAGTATATTTGGTCCTGCCTCAGCATGGTGGGATTGACAAGATGGCCAGCGCAATGATTCCATGAAACAGATACAGTATGATCTCTATCTACTGCTGTAAATTGGCCCTCGGTGTACATTTATAAGCCAGTTTCACCTTACTACTTTTAGATGTTCTCAGCTTCCACTGAAAGTGAAAAGGTGAGGGAGAACGAGAGACAAAAAATGATGTGAGGATTTTCAACTCTCTGTAGGGAATCAGAGTAATCTGGGAACAGGGAAGAGTGGCCAGAAAGGTATTTTGAAAAAAAAATTACTCTTGGGCTGATGCAAGGATTGTTTTCCTCTAAACAAACAGAGGCCCCCAAACCTGCTTGCATCCTTCCAAAGGGAGTAGAGGGTTAGTTGCAAATTTGAGCCTCATCAGAGACCCTGCAGCTCCACATTGGCTGATCAGTTCAGCTGCGTCTTCATCTGCCAGCATATATCCAAAAAGGAAAAGAAAGTTAAAATACATAAAATAGAAAACAAAAATGTTTTTATCACTATTACATCTTCCCTTTATTAGGCCCACAAGTTAAATGAAGCTGTTCATATTGTTAATAGACACTAAATGTTGCTTTTCTGAGGGCTAAATTCAGATCTGATGTAAGTGGATTGAACTCCCTTTGGAACATCACTTTTTACCTGTGTTCAGAGATCATCCATACCAGAAGAGGATTAAGGCCCCAGACCTGTTCCCCCACTGCAGTCAATGGGGAAACTTCCACTGGCCATAGTGATGCAGGATCAGGCTTTTAATCAGCATAGAAAAAATGTTACAAGTTATTAGAGGAGTTCTAAATTTTGCAGCAGCTCTAATTTCTGTGGTACCATATACTTGATGCATTTTCTTAAAATCTGATCAGTTCCTCCCTAAAATTCAGATACATTTAGTGAACTGCTCTGTTGAAATGGAACATATTTGTTTTTTGACAATGAATAAGAACTGTGCACTTCCAAGCAATTTAAAAATAACTTGGAGGATGATCTGTTTGATTAGTTTTAATGCAAAGATGATAGCATGGAGGATTGTTTTTCTGTTATAGTAGATTGTTTATGTGAAAACTGTTTTCCTTTTAACAAGTAAATCTTCCTAGACACAATTGCATTAGATTTCTGGAATTTCATAATGGGGTTATCAATGAACACACACAGAGTTTCAAGATCGGGCTCAAGTTTAACCAAGCTCATGGTTTTGCATACCATAGGAACTCAAAGAATGTCTTAATGAAAATTCTCTTTCTCTTCCATGTCCATTTCATACTTGCTGAGACAAAGAAATAAAATGTTACCTTGGATTATGGTTATTGTTGGATTTTTGTTATTGTTTTGATTTGTTTTGCTTTTTAACAGCTTTTAGTTTATATAAAAGAGTGACAAATTAAAAAATGGCAACATACAGTATAATTATTTGTACTGCAATGGCACCTAGATCAGGATCCCAATGTATACCGACGCATATTTGAAGCCAGTCCTTGCCCCAAAGAGCTTACAATAGATAAGACAGAGGCCAGCTCTACACTACAAACTTTTGCCTGCACAGCTGTGTTGGTCAGACGTGTGATGAAATGCAATTTGTAACGGACGTAGCTGTGCCAGCAAAAGCCCCTGGCGTACATTATATTAATTATATTAGCAAAACTGCTAGGGTTGCCAACCCTCCCAGATTGGCCAGGAGTCTCCCAGAATTGGCCTCAATCTCCCAGTTGCTATAGAAAGTAATCTGGGAGATTTTAATAGGCCAAAAGTCCAGATGGAGGTGCAGCAGGGCTAGAGGCAGGCTCCCTATCTAGCTCCGCACAGCTCCCAGAAGCGGCCGGCATGTCCCTGCGGCCCCTAGGCACTGGGGCAATCAGGGAGGCTCCGCACACTGTCCCCACCCCAAATGCCGGCTCTGCAGCTCGCATTGGCCAGGAACCATGGCCAATAGGAGCTGTGGGGGCGGTGCCTGCAGGCAGGGGCAGCACGCAGAGCCGCCTGGCCGCCCCTGAGCCTAGGAACCGCAGGTACATGCATCTCGGAGCTGCCTGAGGTAAGCACCGCCTGGCTGGAGCACGCATCCCACACACCCTGCCCCAGGCCTGAGCCCCTCCTGCACCTAAACTCCCTCCCAGAGCCCACACCCTTCACCACCCCCCACACCCCAACCCCCTGTCCCAGCCCTGAGCCCCCTCCCGCAAGCAAACTGTCTCCCAGAGCCCACACCCCTCATCCCTTCCTGCCCCAGGCTCAGCCTGGAGCCCCCTCCCACACTCCGAACCCCTCAGCCCCACACCCCAGCCTAGAGCCTGCATACCCCAACCCCCTGTCAGTGAAAGTGAGTGAGGGTGGGGGAGAGTGAGCGACAGAGGGAGGGGATGGTATGAGAAGGGGCAGGGCAGGAGGCGGGGCAAGGGTGTTTGGGTTTGTGCAACTAGACAGTTGGCAACCCTAAAAACTGTGCTTATTTCACTCACTGTTTTTTCTGCAAAGTAGCCATGTTAACATTCCTCTTGCACTGCAACATGAAGAAACCTGGTCTTCCTCTAATATGGACTAGAACTTTTTTTCTTTCTTCACCCTTTGGAAACTGTGGACAAACAAATGAAATAGCAAAAAAGTAACATAGCCACTTCCCATTTGGTCACACCCATTTATTGTCATGTAGCATTGATGTTTGCCCACGTTCTGGCTGTGAGCAGATGCACACTCTGGTCGACATTTTCAGTTTAATGCGTCTCAGGTTGCACACCTGAAGCTATCTTTAGGCACATAGGCCCAAATTTGTAAAGGTATTTATTTAGGCATTGCTCCGCTCAGTGTTGAAAGGCCTAAGGGACAGATTTTTAAAAGGTAGTTAGGTACCTAAAATCATTTTTTACACAGTGCTTTCATCCACACTATAAGGGTATACAATCTAGATTGTGCACAAACTGTGTGGACCCTGCTGGTGTGCTCAAAAGTCCCCTCATGTGTGAAAGTAGTATCCGTATTATATTAACACACACTAGGGAAAGTTTAGTGCATACCATCAGGCTCCACATAGGCATATTAGTGTGCACTAGAATTTACACCCCTCTAGTACAGACTAAAGCACCATATAGACAAGCCCTAATTCCCAACTCAAGGGGAGTTAGATGTCTAAATACCTTTAAAATCTATCCCTAAGCATCATAGATGGTGACATCTCATTTTCAGAATTGATTTAGGCTCTCAGTCATTTTAAAAATGGGGTGTAGCCCTGTAAAACATTTGGGCTTTGCAACACTGA